TCGAAATTTTACAATACAACCGTTGTATTCAATAGGTAATTTACATAAACCAATGATTTTTTTATATCAACTGAAATAAATAGAACACGTACGGTATACGATATAAGTTTTTCAAATTGCTTTAGTTTCGTTTGTAAAAAAATTAATTCTGAAATAAATTCAGTGTCCCTGGCGTTCGACTTGCGCAGTATAACTGACTCAGTATGGGAAAAATGCATTACGAGCTGAGGTAGAATTGATTTTTAAGCAGCGATAAAATCGCAATGCAGACGCGACAATTATATCCATTGTGGTGTTTCATATCGTCATTAAGTCTTCTTTATTTAATATTAACAAATTTTCAATTTTCTGTTCATCGTAATACATTTTTTGTTAAAAGAAACGGCAGAACTATTTAAACATACCGAATTCGCCGTCGTTTAACTACTGACCGCAAGATGGCAGCACATGAATCTAAATTTCAATATAAATCCAAAACGTCGTAAATTGCGACTATAGGTAACTATACATATATTAAATTGCAACTATATTAAACTTTCAACGATATGCCAACATGATAAAGTTTAAATTAGATTAATAGCCCAGAATTTGTTACTTCTTTTAAATTTTTTTATAATACTAAGTGACTGGACGAATAAATTCGCCTAATCACCAAGATCTGAGAGGCGCTACCAATGCCTCTGACACCCTGAGACATAAGTTGACAAGTCCCATGTGCCTGTAATTTCACCAGCACCCATACCCTTCGAAACTGGAACGCAGTAATGTTCAAATTACTGCTTGGCGGCAGAAATCGATAAGGTGGCAGTACTTCTCTGGACGAACTCTTTCACAAGAAACTCTACTGCTCAGAAACTACGACCATCAAGATTTCATAGTGTTTCAAATTATGAGTGTGCGAATTTTGACGACAGCTGCTCTGACCGCTAACCGTTCATAAGTAACCGCTCATAGTAAACTGACAAGGGACCGGAAGAAAATTAAGTTCTATGTTCATGCACTTAGAGACCAGTTTTATCGTGTCTCCCAACGTTCGCCACTGAACCCAACCTTATGCAATCCACGTACTATATATCCATATCAGTTAAATACACATGTAGCATGGCGGCGGTTTGCGCAGACCGCTACAGTAGATATCGATAATTCGCAAACCACTAATACCGGAAATTTGCTAAAAAATAGCACCTTGCATTACCTATCAACTACATAAAGTTTTTAACAGCCCAGTAGTAGTAAAATCGATTCTATGCTTATGCGCGTAGAGACCAATGTGTTTTAGGTTTTAAGAGTCTCGCAAGGTTCTCTACTGAGCCCAGTCTTACGTAACGCATTTATCACCACGTACGCATGTTCACTTAGCATTTCCGAATAGTAGAGTTTGCCCAGAGAAGTACTACCACCATATTTATTTCTCCCGCCTTTCTGGTTTTGAAGGATAAGAAGTGCTTGTGAAATTACAGGCACATGGGACTTGTGACAGTGAACTCTGGTGAGAATGGTGAGAAATCTGGTGTCCCAAAACACAGTTTTATCTACTTTGATCACCAGTCTTCCACGATTAAAATAACAGTTTATTATGTTAGATTTAAGTTCACTGTGAAAGTAAATAAATAATTAATGAGGTAATATTATTTCATCTTCAAAGATATGATTGAGTAAGTGTGCAATTTTTTTTTAATAAATACTTTTTTTTTTTTTTTTTTTTTAAAAAAAACGCAGACACTCAACATAGCCCCGCACTAGGGAAACCCTGTATCGCGGGTACCATGGACACACATAGACCACCACAAATTACATCCAAACTCACGAGAGAAATAATTGTAGGCCATACAACTATTTCTCCCGACCCGGGAATCGAACCTGGGACCTCTGCGTGGCAGTCCGGCATGGTAACCGTTAGGCCACGGAGGCAGTTATTATATATTATTTTTATGTTTCATATATATATTCATTGTTCCGTCTATATTAGTTGATCTACGGATAAATTATAACAAACTGCATTCTAAATTAACATTTCATGGTGAAAAATAATATTTGATCTTCTTTTTTCATATAGGTCAAACTTTGGTTACGCTCTCCATTCAGTAGGCTAGGTTAGGTTAATGGGATATCGCTGGAGGTCTGCCCGGCCTGGAAGGAGGAGCGCCGTTCGCTTGGCGCAGTTGTTGGAAGGGATCTCTCTCTGCCGACCGTGGTTCGCGCCATGGTCGACAGCGAGAGGTCCTGGGAAGCGGTCCTCACTTTCTGTGAAACCCTTCTTTTGCAGAAAGAGGCGGCGGAGAAAGACAGAGAATCCGCGGCCTTTGTCGACATCCGTCGCCGCAGGACAGACGGAGGCGCGACTTTGGTCGCCACCTTTCCCCGTAAGGAGCCACGACTCGAGATGACGTCGCGTGCACCCGCGCGCGCCTCTCAGTAGGCTGTAAAGGAAGGTATAGCTCCTGTCCTTCCTTCTTAGCGAGGTGAGCCCGGAAACGGGTAGGCACAGCTGGGTCCTTGGAAGAATGCTTCGGCGCCCCCAAGACCCAACACGTGGTGTTGAGACGCGTGCCGCGGGTTTTATTGAGTAGGAGTCTCACATAGCCGTCCGTCTGTATCCCCAGATGGAAGGTACCCATGATGGATTTCCCCGCGTAAAAAAGTGAAACTGTGAGTGAAACTGAAATAGTAGTACGAGCCGAACGAGCGAAGTGAGCGTGCTGCGGAAGCGGCCGGCGAGTGCCAGAAGCGAATTTGGTTTCAAACATTTGGTTAAAAACATGGTCTCAGGTCAGGTTATATTATAATTAATATAATAGTATTGAAATATTTTCAATTTATTTCCACTCTCACCGTTCCTCCTTCGGTCGACTAGAAGGTCCGGAACACTCCATCCTTATGTTGTTGATATACGATTCGCACTAAGCGCTTTGCTACCTCCTTTGTTTCCCGAAAAGTACAATTTGGGACTATTCAAGGCTAGAGCGAATAGCCAATGTTTAGGCAAACGCGTACCATCGTCCGTCATTATCATCGCTTAACATGTTTTTATAAATCCCTTTTAGTACTGAACTGACGTCTGACACTTCAATCTTTACACCCAGAATATAATACAAAATTTGAGGCTATGTTTTTAGATGTATCTATATATATGTGCACTACTGGCGCAGTGCATAAAATAAGCCCGTATTTCGCGCTCCCGCAGGACCCTACGACTTAAAGATTTCCACTGAGATACTGGCGAGGGTTGCGAAGTACGTAATACATAACTCGGTAGGTATACTTTTCGTATTATTTTTTCTGTAAAATTTCTTTAAACAGGATTTATTTATTTCAGGCTCTCACCAAATTGTATTTCCGTGTTAGAAAAACAACACTTGCAGCACTCAGCTAATAAAGTAAATTCGTTTCTCATGTATGTTACCTTTATTTAATTATATCGCATTTCCAAGTCCGAGAAATCGAATAATTTCATTATCTAACACATCATTGTCTCTTACCACTTTCTTACAATAATTTATTTTCTATTTCTTAGAATTTATGTATAGCACTTGACTACTAGTTTTTCAGTTCTTTAAAATTTAGACAATCAGGGCTGCACGTCTGTAGTATTATTAAACTGACAAAGTGTGACAATAATAACACATATGTAACAGTTTCGTCAGTTGCTGTATAATTATGGCCGCCTGCATTTAGACTCATATAATATGATAATTTTAGGTTGGCCAGTTGCTAATCCATAAGGCGCCAGTTCGGTGCGAATGATCAGAAGTCTATAAATAAATTAATAGAAACAATGGTTTGTCAAAAGTATGACACGTTATTAATATGTACAGCGGACTTAAATGTATTAGTAGGATCAGTGAATTAAATGACACATTAGTAAGTACAGCGAAAGCTTGACAAATTTGTTAGTAGGAACAGTGAATTAGTTGGCAACAATATCAAAAGTAGGACACGTTATTAGTAGATACAGTGGATCAAATGGCTACATTGTCAAAGTATGACAAATTATATTAGCATAGTAGTGGTTTAAACGGCAACAATGAACGCGAGTTTCCTTTAATATTATGTAAATTAAGAAATTATTGTTGAGTTTCTTTATAATATCTATATTTCATTTTATTTCCAGTTCCATAACGAACAGATCACCTTGTGAAATCACTTCGGTGCTGGCAATCGAAACGATGACAGCAGTAGGTTTGACGTAAATACAAAAATCTCGACGACTAATCATTTTTAAATTACTTAAAACTCTATAGTTCTAAACGCAAAATCAGTTACCGCTCGCAATACGTATGCAGCCCCATCGAGCAGGCTACATTTATTTTATTATTATATTTATGTTTCGGAAGGCGAGGAAGCGCCCAATTTTTCGAACGACTTTACGGCACCGCTCTTCCTTTACGAGCGAACAACTCGATTCAAATGATTGGTATGGATTCCCTTCCGACGGTGCATATTTTTATTACCATGCAGCTGGAATCACGCCGAATTACGATTTATAAACATCACGCGAAACGGTCTGTAGGTAGCTAGTTTAAGGTTTTATTGTACTAGGTTTGTGTGAGGGTGGAAGATGTGGAAATATCGAGACAAATTGAAATTTTTCTAGAGTAGCAATTCGACTGCGAAGCGAGGAATTTTGATTTTATTTATTTATTTACTATATGGACAACAAAACAAGTGCGTTCAACAACTATGCCACACGGAGTGAAAGGAGGTACCTTAATTGCCGTAGGTAGATAGAAAATTTTAATAAAGTATTTTTTTAAGTATTTTTGGGAAAGTTATATAAAAGATTTAACGACCTCGGTGGCCCAACTGTTTATACTGTGCGTGCTGGATGAAGACGTGTCAGGTTCGATTCCCGGTAGGAACAAATGGGGAAATTAACTTTTCTAAATTGGTTCTAACCTGGGTGTTCTGGGAAGCGTCCCAGTGTGAATGCCGTTGGGTATCTTGTAGGAATATTCCAAGTACACCACTAAAAATCTAGATCTATTATATTTCAAAAGTACCTGATGCGGCCTGGCGTTATGTGGTGGTGGGCCCCCTACACCGTGGTGGTAGACCATATCATGTTTGAGCTGTGGCAGTGGAGGTCCTGGCTGGGGCCCCGACTGGTGCTTGCTGATGTCCACCGCTGCTAGTGCCTCAGCCCGACTTAGAAGCCCGTCGTTTAACCCGCCGAATAGATCACCCTGGTTGTGAAGAAGTTTTGGTGAGATTGTTGTAAATAAGTGCAATAATTATAATTATGTTTTCATTAAATATATCCATAGGAAATAATCTGTGACACAAAAATATAAATTATAGTAGCAGTAGACCTCCTGGTGAAAAATTTTGTCCAGGGAAGTACGACCACCTTACCTATTCCTGCCGCCAAGCAGTAATGTGAACATTACTGCGTTCCGGTTTTGAAGGGTAAGGTTGCAGGTGAAATTATAGTCACATGGAACTTATTAACTTATGTCTCAAGGTGACAAGCGCAGGGCCCAGAGGCAGTGCTCCCAGATCTTTGAGATTTGGATACCTAAGATACAAGTAAGCACTTTTACTTAGTTTAGGTATCACCTAGATTAACTTGCACTACTAACCTTAATTAAGTTATGTAAACGTAGTATAATATCACTGTTTACGATAGTCTGGCGCATATATGTAAATAAAAGGTCATTTAATAAGATTCATGAATTTAGGATAAATATTTATACAAAATAAATTTATCTTTTATTTTAATCTTTTATTCAAAGCATTGAGTAGCACTGCAACTGTTAGGATACGTACATGGGGCCTACTACAACCTTTTAAAACAATATTACTTTAGCCTTACATTGACTTTTCATACCATAACGGGCTTAAAGTAAGCTTATTGTAATGTTAAAACTATGATGTTGTATTGGCTGCTTTGTGACTATTCATTTACTCAGTTCGTACTATGACGCGACTTTAACATTATGTCAAATTTGGCAATCTTAACATAGTTACACGGGTGCAATGGAAACAATATTATTTTCAGTTTTATTAATGATTAAAAGTAAGTTTAACTTATTTATTTACATATATCTCTTCAATATTTTTTTATATTTATTAGCACATAGTAAATAATTATTCGTTAAATATAATCATTATAACAGCGCCATCTATATGCTCCTTGGCGAAACTAACAGCGGACACTAGACTATAGTTCCGAATTCACAATGTAACTATCAAGACTCTGCTTGTTTTATTTATTTTCATTTCATCTTCATGAAAATGCGGAAAAATAATTGAAAACAAAGTAATTTTAATACATTTTATTATTACATACTTTTCTTTTTATAACAGCTGAAATTCTCTGCATGTATATAACATAAAGTACTTAAACATTATACTACGATAAGACGATTCGGAACTTCAAAAAAGAAAGAGATAGCATTATATAGTTCATATAGCGTTATTTCTTCCCTATTTTTAGTAAGGAATAGACAATATTGGGAAATCATTCGTTCTTTCAATCACTTTAGCAATAATACATAACTTGGTTGACAAGTTTGTCATGGTACGAATATGAATAATATTATAGTAAGCTTACTTTAAGATTACATTGAAATAAGATAGTTTTTCGAAAGGTTATGGTAGGCCCCCAGATCTGGCAAATACGGTGCAATTGTGTTCCGCGCCAGCGCTGCAGGCACGCGAAAAAATCGCACTACGTAATGCACGTGTGCAGCTCGCGAACCTTTCACAAACAGGCGCATTCGCCAAATTTATACGCACTAGCGGTGGGTGATAAATAACGTCACGATGAAAAAATCACGATGATCCGCCGTCAAACAGCATCACCGTGTCTCGTTCCGAAGGAACGACGTTCCAAAGTCACATAGGTGTTTCTCTGTTCCAATAGCTATCCCCGTCACTCACATCACGACATACGTATTTGATACAATGCGCGATCTCCGTTCCGTGGTGACTGAGCGCGCCACTCGTTGTAGTTCTCTTCAAATCGGCCCATTTCGGCGATGGGAGTGAGTGAGATAGGATGACTTTCTTTGCTCACTCAAAAGGGTCGTAGGTGCTTATTACTACTAGAAAGGGCGGATGAAAAAATCTGCAGCAGTTACTATAAACCTATTTATTAACAAAGCAAAATATTTTTGTATATTTGTTTTATTATAGGAAGAGTTGGTATTTTATATTTATGTATAATCTACTTTGTGTATTCTACTAGAAATATAATTACGTTACACTTTATTACTATTTTTAACAATCCAAAAATTCGCACAAACAAAATTATATTATATACAAAATCAACTTTTTGAATGGAATTGAAACTTATTACAAAGGGAGTAAAAACTTAAATCATTCTATAAAATATGGCTATAAGTATTAGAAAAAAGCCGCTGGCTAAAACCGTATATCGTGATGTAAGTTATAGGCGTGACAAGGTCACGGAAGTAACAGTTGTGACAAAATCACGGTCATTTGTCACCGTTATTTTTTTTGGAACCGGAACGACAGTCACGGCGATAGAAATGTACCGCTATTCCCTATGTCTAATACGCACCTTTAGGAACACTGAAACCCATTGCTCATCGAACCGAACTCGTCGAACGAGAAATCCGCGAGTAATCGGGCCCCGATTTTACGAACACCTACCTACAAGTCTAAAAAGTGTTACAAATGACGAATTGTTTTGTTCCCGACTGAAATACCTTTTCTTGGATAATGAATTCTACAGTGTAGAGGAATTTCTTTTAAAGAAATTGTAATTATGTTTTAATTTTGCCCATTTGTATTTTGAAAATGTTTCATTTGTGTTTGTATTTTTTATAGTTCGTATTTTCCTTTTATAATATTATTGTTTACATTAATGACGATCACGATCATGTTATCCCTTGACATTATATTTCGAATTGTAATATTATGAAAGTGATAATATAAAATAAATGATTCTATTCTATTCTATTCTTCTTTATGGGTGTCGCTCTCACCACAAGGCGAACGACTTCTCCGTCCCACTTGGTATAGTAAAAAAAACACTGAACGCGTACGACATGATGTCCCAGCCTGACTGAAACTAGCTAAATTAATATAAAGACGAGAGAAGAAGAAAAAAGTTGTTAAATTTAGAGTTTTGGTCTTAGTGGTTGGAAAAAAAATTTGGTGCACAATTGTTCGTCCAGCCTCTTCTCTCGAGATATTATAAAAAAAGTTTCAATAAGATAAATTAATGTATAAGTCTTGTACCGAAATCTCCATTCAAATCAAATCTCCTTTGTATATATTTTATATGGTCTTTTTAAGTTTCGTTTTTAATTAAATTCTTAATTTATATGTGATTATATCGAGTTCTTAGGTTTTCGCGATTGTTACACATAGAAAATGAAACTATTTTTCCCTTTTCCTTACAGGATGCAGGAGTTTACAAGCTTGATTACGAGTGCGGTCTCTCTTATATTGGGCAAACGAAACGAAGTATTTGTAGCCGCGTCAAAGAACGTACCTATAGCTGATGTCAAACACCGTCGCGTAAACAACTCTGCAGTCTGCGAGCATGTCATGGATAAATACACATTCAATGAAGTTTGACAAACTCCAGGTCCTTGCAAAAGAAGTCCGTTATCTACCCAGGATGCTGCGAGAGGCCATTGAAATTAAAAAAAACATCCTAATTTCAACAGGGAAGACGGTTTCTCCGTACCACCAGTTTGGGATCCTGTATTTCCTCTGATGAAAAATCTCAAACAGACATAAGACTGCAGTACTAATTTCTATTATTAATTAATAATAAATTGAACTTAATAAAAATTCTTTCAATAAAATAATTTGTACAGCGTATACATTAAACCGGAATGTTTCTTTGTAAAATTAAAAATAAAGTATTTAATTAATAACTATTGTAACTATAGTGAAAAAATAGGGTAGTTTGCATCAATATTAGACATAACTGGTTGAAGACTGTACCACCTCAGTCAACCGTGACCATGGGACCTGTAAAGGGCCCGAAACGTCGATTTGTTTGAAAATACAAATATACGCGATTTAAATCCGGAAAAATAGTTCCATTTTTTAAATGTCATTGTTTTTCGCGCCTTGTCTTAGTATTGTTTTCTGTTTTGCTTTGATAGCTGTTCGTGTAATTAATAAACTACAAGTACAATTGCTTTGGCCTTGCTCACTCGTTGTATTGTTATTATTTTTTCTCCAAAATCCTTCACTGTTCCCTGTCTTTCCAGAATTGGGAGACGACGTTAACGACGTTATTTCTCGGGTTGCTGTATATTGTTATTTCTATATTAGTTCAAAAGCTTAGACTCTTAAAGCCGAAACGTAGAGACAACGCGATTTTTCATTTCTATTTCATTACCATATTCTTTAATCAAGATACTAATCTGCTAGGTTGTTTTATACGATACGAAAGTACCTACTGCATTTAACAAAGATTATTTCAATACAGGACGACAACGCTGTGATTTTCGTGTTACGGTTTTAAAACCTGTAATGATAACTAAAATAACAGTGTAACAATTCTAAGCCCCGAGTTACTCTTATTATACTATGGTGTCAGCCATTTGTCATGTTTGTTTTATTATTTATTAATTTATATTGGTTTATTTTTTGGTTCTGTATTGTATTGCACAAGAAATAATTTTAATGGAGTATACTAAAATTTAATTGTAATAATAATAATAACGCAAATAGTCATAGCCGTAGGGAAACCCTGTATCGCGGATGCCATGGACACACACATAGACAACTACAAATTACATCCAAACTCGCGAGACCAATGAATGTAGGCCACACAAATATAAGTCCCGGCTCGGGAATCGAATCTCTGTGTGGCAGTGCAACATGATAACCGTTCGGCCACGGAGGCAGTTGCATTGTTATGGATAGTAACACAACAAAGGCTGTTACGGAGTAAAATACTACTAAGTTAAATTAGAGTAAGAAGATAATGCAAGTTAGGTTAAGCTAAAAGAAATTGTTAAGAAATCAATAGAGCTACAATAAAGCCCTGTTTGACTCCTGCAATCGAAAAAAATAAAGGCAATTATACTGTCTTAAAACGTACACTTTACTATGTAATGTCTACTTTAACGTACCATGGTTAACTATAAATTCTTGTCGACATTTCTAAACTACAAAATCATGTATCCATTTCATACGTACACACTACTCAGTAAACATGACGGTTTTATGTCGTTTGAATAAAAAATGTTAAACCATTCGATATTTAAGCGTTCATTTAAAACGACCGTACTTCGAGGTTAAATTACATTAGATTGTACTACTGGGTTTTACATTTAACCTGTCAAAGTTATTTTTAGAGTAACCCGGATTTAGAGCATCCTATCATTGATCACTGTAAGTCATTGGTAATAATAATTATAATAATATTAATCCCTCCACATAGACACTCAATTTTTTTTAAATGTCAAGTGACGGGGCGAACAAGATCGTGCGTCTGGTCGTAAGCTACACGCCTATCCATAACAGTTGCAGTGCCACTCAGAGTTTGAAATAACAAAGATCTGACTTCCACTGCGCCCATCACCCTGAGACATAAGTTGACAAGTCCCATGTGCCTATAATTTCACCAGCACCCTTACCCTTCAAAACCGGAACGCAGCCATACAATATTTACTTGATTTCTCTCAGTAAGTGTGGTTCACACCAGCCAACAGGCTGAGAAAAATAAAAAAAACATAGTAATAATTCATTTCCAATCACAACATTAACCTAGAAACAACTCATCGATCCGAACATTATTCCCATACATTGTAACCCACGCGGTCTTCTATTAGGAGAAAAATGATGTCAAGCAGTAGAAAATTAACTTGTATGGCGACCATCTTGCAAAATACATACATACTGTACATGTACTTCACGCCTTTTTCCAATCGATGTAGGCAGAGACAACAGTCTTCCACTTGCTACGGTCCTGACACGCATCTTTCGCATCATCAACATGTATCAGTACTTTGCCCACGCAACTCGCTCGCTCACACTCGCCTTATAATAATAATATATATAATAATAATAACGCACACACTCAACATAGCCCCGCACTAGGGAAACCCTGTGTCGCGGGTGCCATGGACACACATAGACAACCACAAATTACACCCAAACTCACGAGAGAAATAAATGTAGGCCATACAAATATTTCTCCCGGCCCGGGAATTGAACCTGGGACCTCTGCGTGGCAGTCCGGCATGGTAACCGTTCGGCCACAGAGGCAGTATCTGCTTCGTCAATCTTCTTTCTTTCATTCTCTCTACATGTTCGAACCATCTAAGCATCCATGCCTCTGTCTTTGTCACTACATCGTCTTCTACGTCGCCACGCTCACTTATTACACTGTTCCGTAATTTATCCACCAGAGTCACTCCAGCCAGTTTAGTAGCAGTGGAGCTCCTTGTGAAAGAGTTTCTCCTCGGGAAGTACTGCCACCTTACCTATTTCTGCCGCCAAGCAGTTAATGCTCACATTACTGCGTTCCACGAGGGTAAGGATACTGGTGAAATTACAGGCACATAGGACTTGTCAACTTGTGTCTGAGAGTAACGGGCGCAGTGGCAGTCCCTAAGATCTTTTCAATTTAAAGCTCTGACTGGCACTGCAACTGTTATGGAAAGATGTGTCGCTTACAAACAGGCGCATGACTTGTTCATCCCGTAACTTAGTATAACAAAACAAAACCGTACTCCTGAAAGCTCTCACTTGTACGGCATTCATTCTACTTTCGTGCTTCTTCTGCCAAATCCAATAGTACAACACTAAATCGTGGTCGTGGGTCATGTCCCATCGCGTCGTAGAAATTTCTCTGTTTTTGATCTTTGTATCAATGATCATGGCACTGCAACTGTTATGGATATACGTGTCGCTTACCATCAGGCACAAGAATGTGGCTTTTATTCGATTTGCTCACGCGTCCACGTACAATCGTTACACACACAGTTCTCGACCTCGCTGTCTCGCGTGTCGCGTCACATGAAGAAACCTGACCGGGAGGGTTTGATCGCAGTGGCGCCCAAGATGACCGCTCTCCATGTTACTGAAAAGGCTCGTGCCCGTATCTTTGCTGCTGGAGGTGAAATCCTGACTTTCAACCAACAGGCGCTTCGTGCCCCAACCGGCCTCAAGACAATGCTGATTAAGATCGCCGTAGTGCCCGTGAGGCCGTCCGTCCGGCCCCAGGCACACCACTCTCGCACACCAAGCGTTATGGGCGCAACAAGGGACATGATAAGGCACGGCTCAGCCGTCACTCTGACGTGTAACTTATAAATACAAGGACTAAATATAAGGTCTACAACTGTAGTCCTTCGAGACGGAAACTTCCTTCTCGAATGTGATATCGTAGCGTCTTAAGACCACACGATGTCTTTAACGTGCAGCTGTGTTTTCATCCAAATGTTATTTTTTTAAGATTTTCATTGAATGTCACGATGTTGTTACCACCATGATCTTAATAATTTAAATGTAATTTCACAAAAATAATTCAATGTTATGGTGGTCAAACATGGTGACATTCATTATAAAGCTTAAAACTTCAAGATGATAGATTTCTCACAGATGGCGTTACGGTAAAAATGTCGTTAAAAAACTAAAATTGTATTGTATATATGTAATTTAATGTATGATCTGCTACAAGCACATAGAAAAATTCGTAAGGTGCGCTGGTTGGTTCCGTGGCTTAGTTGGCATAGCGTATGCCACGGTTTGCTAGAAGACGTTGATTCGAATCCAGTAGGATTTTTTTCTTAGTGTTCGATCTTTGTATTAATAATTATCATATTTTTGTTTACCAAAATCTTTACGGGCACACAGACGTCATTAGGGCGCGTCACGGGTTAATAGCTGATAAACGAGAAACGAAGGTACTTAATCTAGGAAATTAAGCAATAATACGCGTCTAGGAAAGTAAGCCACGTAATATCGCCCACTAATTCGCAAGATGCAGAGTTGGCCGCATAAAATAGTCATGGCGGACCAACCAACGGCTCGCGGACAGGGGTTTTTCACGGATTACTCTAAATTATTTATGAGCGCCTCTGGCCTCGTGTTACTCAAACTCGTTACTCGGTTCTGGGCTCCAACAGGGATGCGCAAAAGAGATTTTGAAAGATTTCGCAAATAAATATCCAAACCTAAGGTTACTGGTCATTCAAAGGGGAAACGTTGTCAACCTTCTGGGCAAAGTTCCCTAGGTCGGCCTACCATATATTTTTTAATCTTTCTTACTTATTGCTACACATTGAAAATGTGACTATTTTTCAATTTGTGAAAAAGTGAGGTGTAGTTAAATTAACAAATATGTAAATATATTAAATTTTTATTGAATTGATATTCAATTATTTTTTGTGAAATTACACCACTAGTTTGTTATAATTATTAATACAAAGATCGAACACTCAGAAAAAAATCCTTCGATCCGGTCGGATTCGAACCGGCGTCTTCTTGCATACCGTGCTAGACG